TATATATATGAAATAACTGCATATGAATCATTATATGTCAAGAACAATATTGGGGGAAAACCATGTATGACAAAGATGAAAAAGTATTTTCGTGTGACGCGTTTCGTTCTTTAGGACATCAAACTAGCAAAATTCTGACCCCTCACTTTGGCACAAACGGCCCCTCTCACATGAAGAACTCAGCCATACTAGTTGAAAACTAAAGGAAATGAACGTAACTGACAAACACTTTGCCAGTCTAGATATAAAATCCTTTCATATCAACGTCCCACTTAAAAAAAAAGTCAAAATCTCTTAAAAAAAAATCTAACACACTCAACGGTAAAGCTCAACTTACCAACAGCTAAAATAATAAAAATCTGCAGTTTCATCACCATTCAAAGATAATTATCATTTAATAATGATTTTTATAAACAAAAATTTGGATTACCAATGGTATCGCTTCTCAGTGGAGTGATGGCATGTATCCTCTTAGAATTCTTGAATCTTATCCTTTAAAATATATATTCACCCAAACAATCAACATATCAGGTCATCCCATAAGTTCTATCCGAATTTTAACGTTTTGTTAAAATGAACGAAATTTAAAGAGTATTTTATAATGTCTAATGGAGAAGAACATTATTTTTATGTTTAGATGCATTTAAACTGATCAAATTTTATGTTTAGAGAACAATAAAATTATATTTTGTTTGATTAAAACCCTGCTAGCATGGAAGTACCCAAGAATCATTTGAGGCACATAATGCTTTATGAGTTCAAGAAAGGAAACTCAGCAGCCGAAGCGGCTAGAAACATTCACTCAGTTTATGGAGAGGAATGTGTGAATGAAAGAACTTGCAGAAGATGGTTTGCAAAATTCAGAGGTGGAGATTTCACCCTTGAAGATGAAGATCGAACAGGACGTCCAGTTGAGTTTGATGAAAAGCTTCTTGAAGAAAATCCTGCTTTATCAGTTGAGGAATTGGCAGTGGTTCTCAGTTCAAAAGATACAACTGTTCATCGTCATCTTCAACAACTTGGAAAAGTTCCTAAACTTGGAAAATGGGTGCTTCTTGAATTGTCTGAAAACAACCTCAAATCCCGTGTTGAAATCTGCTCTTCTCTCCATTCTCGCCAACTTGTTTCACATTTTTGGATAGACTTTTGACTGGCGACGAAAAATGGATCTTTTATTGAAATGTTAAGCGTCGTAGACAGTGGCTTGGTAAAGGGGAAGGACCCCAGCCACAGCCGAGAAGGGAACTTCATGGGCAAAAGGAATAATCCACTTTGAATTCCTACCACCTAATGCAACAATTAATTCTCAAATATGCTGTCAGCAATTAGAGCGTTTGAACCCAGCTTTGAGGAAAAAATGACCTGCTCTAATGAATCGAAAAGAGGTGATGTTTCATCAGGACAATGCACGACACCACACAGCAAGCATCACGTCACAAAAGATCGAAGAACTTGGTTGGGAGAAAATTCCTCATCCACCTTATGCTCCCGATGTTGCTCCTTCAGACTACCATTTATTTCGTAGCTTACAGAATCATTTGGAAGAAACAGCTTTTGTAACAAAGGAAGAGGTTAAAAGTGACATTTGTGAGTTCTTCGAATCAAAGCCAAAAGAATTTTACAGTAATGGAATTAGTAAGCTTGTTAATAGATGGAAGGAAGTCATAGATATTCAGGGAAATACATTGTTGATTGAATCTGTAATTAAATGTAACATTTGGTCATTCAAAATTCGGACAGAACTTATGGGATGACCTGATACTTCTGATATTTATATTCGTTTTTAATGATACTCTGTTAATGTATCTTTGGGATACTCAGTTACCGGACCGTGTAGATAAACTAAACAAAGTTGAATAGACAATAGAATTTACATACGATATGGAAGAATAGAAATTTTTACCTTTTCTAGATATCGCTATTTTTAACAATAGTTAAAACTGCGTGTCCACCAGAAACCAACCAAGAAAAACACTCTAATAAATAACAATTCTTATCATAACAATAAAATAAAACCTAGTATAATCATCTGATTCGACATAAGAGCAGCCAGAATTTGCAGTCCTTTGAATTTACATGAAGAAGAGAAATACACTGAAAACATTTTCAAGCTTCTTCGATATGCTATTTATTAACATTCAATGCGAAACAAAAGTCTCATGAAATATTCCAAAATAGAAAAAAAGGCTCGTCCTGACAAACCCATTGGTTCAGACACATATTATTCTACCAACTAACTCTATCACATCTACAAATAGAACAAGTCTATCGAAACTCAACATAAATGTCGTTACGACTACATCCAAAACAACAAAAGATTTAGTCAATACTAAACAAAAAATAAGCTAAAACTTAAAGGAGAAATTTACTCGATCGCCTGTAATAATTGTCACAAAAATGCATAGGTGAAACCTCAAGGAACACAAATAAAAGATTATATGAACACAACAGATACATTTTACAAAATAATACATCAATTGCATTGGTTGCCCATTATAACCAGACTGACCACAATTTTTACTTGGAAAAGTCGATCATTAAAATTAAACGACGCAAAATATCTATCGTTTTTAATTGCATTCTCCTTAAATACAGACCTCTGCAAAGGGAATTAGTTAAAACGATTAGACAGATATTATATATATATATATATATATATATATATATATATATATATATATATATATATTAGTGTGTGTATGTAGTCATCCCTGTCATGTTTTAAAACGTTATCCTTACCACATAAAATTACAACTAGATCCCAACTGACACAGATTCGAATTATTACTACTTTTAGAAAAAAGCAACTTAGAAAATAAGCACAAGAAAAATGAATTATTTGAAAGAGCTTGGTAAATAATCTCTACGAACAGTTTATACACTCTGTTTATTCCCAAAAGAATTAAAACTGTAATATTTGAAAACTATACCTATATATATATATATATATATATATATATATATATATATATATATATATATATATATATATATATACTGCTTCTACTACTCTCAAACATATTAAAATCCTATATCGTAATCAAATGCATACTAATTATAAAGAAGATGAAAATATACTAAAAAAAAATTATTAAATACTAATATATCTACAAGAGATCCTAGCAAAAAAATTAAGTTAACTGCACTAAATCTAGTATATCCAACTCAATTATTCGCAATGATTCTTTTCCCTTGGTTAGCAATTTGCAAAAAAAAAAAAAACATAGTTTACAAATTCAAGTCACCTTTTGGGAGATTGTATCTCCATCGAATTAAATAATATTTATGTTGGTCACACCACAAACTCGCTTTCATGACGCTTGACACTACATTTGAATGATAACTCTAGCATTTCTAGGCATTTAAAACAACATGCATACACAATTCCGGAAAACCCTTAATGAAAATACAACTATACTTAAACATGAAAACAATAAACAGAAAGTAAAAATTCTTTAAGCTATATGCATAAAACAATTGAAACCTAACCTGGACAACATAAAGTATGAAATCTCCACAAATATTCTTAAATGCCTATAATTGGTAATAGAAGCGATTGGTTTATACCAACGGCATCCCATGCTTAATACTTCTCGTTTTCACTCTAGTAAAAATAAATAATAAATAGACAACACTTATCTATATTATATAATGAAACATGTATCAATGAAAAAATGCTGCCTAAATACACACACACACACATATATATATATATATATATATATATATATATATATATATATATATATATATATAGAGAGAGAGAGAGAGAGAGAGAGAAAAGAGAGAGAGAGACAGTAAAGGTAAAATATTCGTTGGTATATAATTCAAGTAGACCTAGTAATATCAAATATTAAAACTGATCCATGAAGAGAGCTCGATGCTTTTATTAATCCAGAGCAATATATTTAATAAGCAAATAAATCCAAAATTACCTCGTATGGGGAATCGCCTATTTCGGCAGACGATGATATCCGTTGTCTGTCATATCAACCCCGATGTGGAATGAGTTCATGTCTATAAAGTTAGATGAGGCATGAACTTATTCCACACTGGAGTTGATAAGACGACCAAAATTAACGTCTACCAAAATAAGTTGTTCCCCATATGAGGTAATTTTGAACTTAAGGATTTATTTGTTTATTAATTATATATATATATATATATATATATATATATATATATATATTCTAAATAAGTGATGCGTATTTACCTAGTAATTCAACAGATTTTATTACTTAAGCGTTATGTTTTTATTAAAAAAAATTAATATTTCTCGGATATTTAGACTAGGCGAAAATAAATAAATGAACAGGGCTTCTACTGAAATATGTGTATCCACTAAAAAGAAAATAACCTTTAAGTAATAAAATGCATATCTGTGTGTATGTATGTATGTTTGTATTACTATATTACTCACGTTCGCTCTCACTACCCCTCTCTCTTTCTCTCACTGTCTTTCTCTCACTGTCTTTCTCTCTGTATTTGCATGTGTACGTCTAGCTGAATTGGTCAGTACCTGTATATATGTCCCCCCCCCTATCACATACAACGTTCAACATTTCACGTTCAACAGGCAACCGGTTAAATGCTTGCCTCTGGACTGGAGGAAAAAGTTGCCAGGAAATAGTTCTCTTCTTTCCTTTCCAATTCGCCGACTGATGTGCACCTTTGATGTGAATAACAAGCAGATCAAAAAGAAGAGAGGATCGATTCTCACTTTTATTCCCGCCGCCGGGTTCTCCTGCATCGACTGACCCGCCACACCAAAGAACATCGAACCGAGCACTTTTTGATGATCGGCATACAACTATTTTAAACTCCCCACCCCCCTAAACTTATTGCTTCATTCACCACCAACCCCCTAACCTCTTTACTCCCACCGTCTTTTCGTTTAATTTTGCATTTTACTTCTACAAAAGGTGCTTGCTGTAAGCGATGTACGTATGAGGACCAAGCTATCTGACTTTGAACTTTCTCGACCGACACAGTAGAGGCGAATGCGGGAGAGTAGTCTTCTTTCTGATTTCTTCGATGTTTGGTTGAACATTGGATTGAAGACGAAATATGGGTGACACTCCGTAATAGCTTTTGATTGGAGCTTGCCAATTTTGTTGTCTTATATTATCAATTCAAGAAGATCGTGAGTGAATCGTTATTGGTTTGACTGGGCCATACGTCTTTTTACTTTGAAATCAAAGGTTTGGGAGACTTCTAAATTCGTGTCGTCTGTTTTTGTTTTATTTTTTTTTACCTTTTTTTTTTATATTTTTATATTTATTTTTGGCGGCAATTTTTTTTCATTTCGTATTTATTCCATTTTTATTTCTTTGGTCATTCATTTCAAATTCCTTAACTTTGAGACATCTGAAAATTCTTCATATTTTTCATATCTACATCTACATCTCTATCTCTCTTTTTTTATATATATATATATATATATACACGCACACACACAAATGAGAGAAAGAACAGTTGGAGTAAAATTCTTCTGTTTGTAGCATTTACTTTTTTCTTTTAAAAAGCGCTCAATACAAAGTAAACCAAAATGTTATTATTTTTATTATAACAGATTATAATAAAAACATGCTGAAATCCCTATACAATAGCTTTCGTGTTTCGGCACTATGTTTGCTCTCTTCAGACGATAGTAAGTAACTGCTGTTTAAATAACTTTAAAGAAATTTTAATAACAAAATGTTACCTCGTTTCTGAAAGTTAAAGTGTGTGGTTGTGGAAACATAAGGTAAGAATTAAAAATAGACTTCATTAACCAATTATATGTCAATTAATTTGTTAATCAAGATATACCCACAAGTCTATTTTTAATTGTGACCTTATGTTCCTCCACCCCACTTTAACCAGCTCTTTAGCTGACACTTTGTTATACCGGAACGTACCTATTTCTATTGTAATTAATAGACTCTCCCACAGATAATAAGTAGTAGTAGTAGCAGTCGCCAGTGAAGCTCAGTGAGTTGTGTGAGTCAGTCGATGTCGGACATTAAAGTATGAACCCCACAACTTGATTGCTGCGTCATTAAATATTATTTCAAGTTCCTAACGTTTTGTACGTCGAACCTGATTTAGGACCGACTTAGTAAAATACAAGCCTCCACTGTGAAAACTACTCTACAACACACTTTGATTTTAAATTTTCTTAAAACTCATTTAATCACCAGTTACTTACCATCGCTTGAAGAAGTACAATCATAATATTGACATATGAAAGCTTTTGTGTAAGGATTTTAACATATTTTTTTATTAAAATTGCTTATAATAAATATATATATATATAAAAAAGAAGTAAAGTATTTATGCCACGTCTTGTTCCTCATTTGTTTGCCGATTATATCTAAGATTTGATTCCCTTTTCTTTGCTAAAATTCTTCCTTTTTCTTCTTTGTCGCTGTCTCCCAATCATTTAATCATTGCTTCACCTGTCGCCATGCTTTCGTTCTTGCGTTTTTTTTCTTTATTTTATTTGTTCTAAACTATGCCTTCCTAACATTTATTCCTCTTTTTTTTTAGGTTACTTCCCCCTTTTTATTTCTCACTATCCTGATGTCTTTTGCCTTCCTATCTTCCGTTCCAATGCTTTCTCTTCTATTTGCTTTCCCACTATTTCTTTCATTTTTTTCTCTCTTTATTTTCTGTTTCTTTCTCTTTGTATCTTTTTCTTCCTGCATTCTATTTTCCCTCCTCTACTTCTCTTTGTCTTCTTCCCTGTCTTCTATTCTATTTCTCTCTGTTTGTATTTACCTTTGCCTTCGACTACTGTTGAATTTCCTTCCTGTTTTCTGTCCTCCGTTTTCCTGCTCCTTTTTCTCTTTTCCTTCTTTCCATGTCGTTTCTCTTTCTTTATTACTCTCCTTTATTCTCCTTCTTTTATCCCCTCCCATTTACTTCATTATGTTTCTTCTTCCTCATTGTCTTCGACTCTCCTTATATTAGTTTAAATTCCTCTCTGCTTTCTGCCCGTCTCCCTTCTATTGCTTTTCCGCTCTTCCTTCTACTCACTTTTCTTCTATTTATTTTCTCCTCTTACTTCTACTCTCCTTCCTTCTATTTCTTTGCCTTTCTTCCTTCTTCACTCATTCCTTCTATTTCTTTTCCTCTCTTCCTTCTACCCCCCATCCTTTTATTTATTTTTTCTCTTCCTTCTACTCTCCTTCCACCTATTTCTTTTCCACTCTTCCTTCTCCTCTCATCTCGTCTATTTCTTTTCCTCTCTTCCTTCTACTCCCCTTTCTTTTATTTCTCGTCCTCTCTTCCTTCTGCTCACCTTCCTTCTGTTTCTTTTCCTCTCTTCTTCTCTCTTTCCTTCTACTTCTTTTCCTCTCTTCCTTCTACTCTCCTTTCCTCTTTAACTTCTAAACTCCTGATTTATTTTTCTTTTCTCTTTGTCGTTTAGCTTCTTTCATTCTTTTCCTTTCCTCTCTGCTTTCTAATATGAAACGGCACTAAGTGATAGTTGATTCCCGCTAAAACTCACATACACACTACCCAGTAAAAAACAAAAAGAAAAGAAATATCACATGGGCTACTTTCTGTACAACAAAAAACGTAAAATACAAACTTAGGAAAACACTAATTAACCCGGACCGAGAACTTGACACAAATGATAAAAATCACAACAGGAAAACAATCAACAAACCACCTACACAAATCAAACCAACATGTATCTCCAGAACAAAGAAGTAATGCCCCTTAAATGGCAATTGCTTGTAGAACAATCTACCAAGCCACTCTAAAATCAACAGATAACGAAGAAAAACATATACAGGAGTAACTGATTGACTCCAGAAAAAAGAAACTAAGCACACTAAACATCCTTTACAAATTGTAAATACGCGAACAGCACAGCGCTTTTTAAACATATCTGGAAGATTAAAAACAAAAAACAAATCACACCAAAAATATCGTGGAAATATAAGAAAAACAGCATCGGCCTACAACAATAACTTCAAAAACTGTAAATTCTCTATATAGTTATATCTACCTTCCCAGACAAATTCAAACTACTATATATATATATATATATATATATATATATATATATATATATATATATATATATTATATATATATATAGATAACTAGACTCGTTTTGAAAAACCCTCGAATTTTTGATTTGCTAATCAAATCAATCTCGAGGGAAAAAAGGTTTTTAAAAAAGAAAGAGCTACAAACATGAACTTCTGCCGACAAAAAAATCGCACAGATGCAGGTCTGAAGCCCAAAGAAAAAAACCCTGATACGAGTAACAACTAACTAACAAAAGAACTCAATACAACCGTAGAGACGACCTAGATACACCTAGTGAGCCAGACAAACCTACCTAGGTTTCAAAACGGATCGTCAGGGAAAGTTTGGCCCTGACGATCCGTTTAGGTGAAACCTAGGTAGGTTTGTCTGGCTCACTAGGTGTATATATATATATATATATATATATATATATATATATATATATATATATATATATATATATATATATATCTGTGTGTGTGTGTGTGTGTGTGTGTGTGAAGAGCAGCTTTTACACTGCATGGATTGTCTCTTTGTCTCTGGCTCAGAGTGATGATCCTAGTACTTATCATGAGTTAGGAAACTTTCAAGAAAATAAGCCGGGTCTGCCACAGATAAATTCCGATTTCTCCGTGATGTGCTTTTGTTAAGCTGTCAAAAAATTGGCGCCCACAGAGCATAAACCTTTGTCATGCCAAGTTCACTGAGTATAATATTCTGAACTCTCTGACTGGATGAGCAAATAAGCATTGGCTTTTTGATTTAGAGTCAATAGTCTGTCATCAATTAGTCTGTCGTGAAAACGTTCTCTGTTTCCTCGGTGGTGGCAACTGCAGGATTTGCAAACTATGCGTCATATTCAAGACTCTTCCTTTCCCTCCTAAATTCATCTGCGCAATGTTGCCCTGTTCATAAAGCTGTAGCGTCATCCCCTAATGTCTTTTGGGGATAATCCGTTTTTCTGCAGGTACTTTTGAACAGCAGTCAGTTACGTGCCATGCGTGATACACGCTTAGGCGATCATGTATGTTTCGATACATGACTGACGAGGCAGATTTTTCCCGCAATAGTTAGCCATTTCTTTCTGTAGACTATTTGCCATCCAAGGCTATAAAACTAGGTCTCTCCTGATATTTACCCATAGCTAGGGGGGTAAGAAGTGGATTCATACCTTTCCCAAGGGTATTAGCACGTAAGTGAATTTCAGTCAGTTATGTGCTATGCGTGATATACGCGTAGGCGATCATGTATCTTTCGATACCTGATTGACGAGGGAGATTTTTTCCCGCAGTCGGTTGACATTTCTTTCTGCAGTAGACCAGTTGCCATCAAAGGCTTTAAAACCCGGGCTGTCCTGCTATTTACCAATAACTGTCTGGGAGAGAAAAAGAGGATACATATCTTTCACAAAGGTATTAGAACGTAAGTGGATGTAATGGATTCGACTGGAATTCGAACTCGGCTTTGCGATTCCTTAATCCGAGCCGCTATCCATTAGTCCACTGTTGAACAGCATGATGTCAAATTTTGTCCATTTACACGAGTAGTCGTTACTAGTTACTTTTGAAGTCTTCTTTACCTGGAAAGAATGAATGTAGTTATTAATAAGAGATGAGATTAAAGCCTACAAGATTTCACAGCTCTAGCGCCATTCCTTCTTAGCCAGCCTGTTGTTGATTTCAGCCCACACTTGTATACAACTTAGGGTTTTAAAATTTCTGAACGATTTGGGTACCTTACAAGACACCCATATGAATGTCTCTATCTGACATAGTTATTTAATAAAATGACGAGAGTTTTCCGGTTAATTTTTGTTTGGTACTAACATCCGGTGTTGTGGAAACTACAGCTAGAGCATCATATTCTTTGCTCAATATCCTTATCTCGGTGTAGAGGGCCATTGACGAGGATTTGCGAATGCAGACAAACTGTTGAAGTAATAAAATGAGAGCCGAAGTCTATGATTGTTTAGGACGCTGAAATGAAAAAGGTTGACCCCACCAGACGAGGAAATCAGACTTAGTCTTTCGTATTATTGATCGAAATATTTTTTTACAAAGTGTGAGAACGGCATTCGTGTCGGTTAGCCGAGTCTGCGATATTAACTTTTCGATATGGCGGAACCCAAATTGAAGGATCAGACATGGCGCGCCAAAAGAATCAACTTTTATATCGACGAGTCATTTAGCAGGAATAATGACTCCGAAATCGAAGCTGCGTCCGAAAGTAAATCTTCATGAATAAATTACAGACGATTTCACGGAGATTTCCCCGGAATTGAAGGAATGATAGCAACATGGTCAGAGTCTTGGTAAAATGTTAAAAGCAACGAGCAGCAGCATGTAGCCACGTGAAGCGAAGCAAACATGTAATTTATAACAAGTACCAGCAAATAATAAGTACCAATAAATAAGCATGAAATTTAATGAATCTTGTTACTTAGCTGTGTTTGAGATTTGAAGTGTGTTTGAGGATGCATCTGCTAAAATAGAACGATTTGTTTCCTTATCGAATAGGGATATGTGATGAGAAATGGATCCTTTGTGACAATCGTAAATTACCGGCTCAGTGGCTGGATCAGGAAGAAGGGCCCAAACACTTTTCAAAACCGAGATTGCGCCAACAGAATTATATATATATATATATATATATATATATATATATATAGAGAGAGAGAGAGACAGACAGACAGACAGACAGACAGACAGACAGACAGACAGAGCAAATATAAAATCATTTATACAAATATTGTAACATAAAAATGTTATAAATAAAATCACGTTCTGGTGTTTTCTCAAGTGATGTTTTATGGCATAATTTTCGAATACATATATATATAACTATGATTAAAGATACTGTGGCTCGGATTGAGGAATCGGAGAGCCAAGTTCGAATTCTAGTTGAGGTCATTACATTCACTTACACTGGTATAAATCGATCTCTTCCCCTCCCAGCTATCAGAACGGTCTCTAGAGAATTGCCCAAACTCTCCTACAATCTAATGAGCAAGCCTCCAACTGCGTAGGTCTCTATCTCAATGAGTCAAAAACTGAATACATGAACAGAGGTACAGCCAACCATGGCCATCCTATAAAATCCCTTAACGCCACCAATTTGAATCAAGTTGAGGATTATATATATCTAGGATCATTCATCTCCTCCTCCTTGAGTGACTTCCAAACTAGGAAGGGTATGGCATGATTTGCATGCATTGATATGCACAAGATCTGGACATTACAACTGGACATAAAACGATGAAAATATTCAGAGCTGCTGTTGAGCCAATTCTACTCTATGGCTGAGAAATAGACATTCTCTAAAGGCGTGGAGAAACCTTTGGATGAAACCTACACCTGTCTTCTGTCTGGTGTAGTGAACCAACTTTTTTAGCAAAATGTATTATTTTTCATTTTTTAAAAATTAATCTGTCTCGTATATTATTTTTTACTCATTAATAGCTCATCATTAACACTTATCTAATTAAATGTTAATAGATTGAATAATCTGTTGTATACTAGCAAGCAACGGTGATGATTGATCCATCATTTAATGGAGTCGAATACAAATATGTTCACTATTTCCATTACATATCTTCCATTTATTAACTTATATCTATTAACTAACAAATATATTTTACATATGTTTAATCCCATTGATCTGCTCTATACCAACTGAAGAATATCTTAACATAATATTTATTGCTATGGTCACTATGTAAGTAAAAACAATTCTATAACATAATAATATCTGCAAACAATCTATTAGGGTGTTAGATATATAATGTTTTGGAATCAACTTTTACTCCTGAATTAATGCATCTAAACAGTGTTTAAAACTGTCAAAACGGGAACGCTGAACATCTATTCAATTCTGCTATCGATTGATATATATATATATATATATATATATGTGTGTGTGTGTGTGTGTGTGTGCGTGTGTGTGTGTGCGTGTGTGTGTTTTATAAAATGTTTTCATTTTGCAAAACACGGTCAAGAAGCCTTATTAATAAAAAACCCAACACTTAATAAGATTAACTTTGAATATGGACACAATATCTTGACCATGTTTTGAAAAATGAAAACATTTTATAAAATATATTGTATTGTAACCTTTTCAATTTTTATTACAAACAACCGTGGATGTGCGTGTGGTGTAAAGCATAGATGCTCGGAATGAGAAATCACTGAACCGTCTTCGAATTCGATTTCTGTTCGTTACATTCATTTAAGCGTATTTACTGATCCGTTCCCCCCAATTATGGGTTAAATATTAGGACTTATATAAGAAAATAAATTACTATTTTCCCAAAAAATGTTTATGCAATATTCGCTCACAAAAAGTCAATTATCATTACAATCCAAAGTTCCGGTTTTATATAACCCACAAAATGGTTGATAAGCTCTAAAAAGCAACAATCCCACAATAGAACAAACAGGCAACGATCTAAAACAATGCCATATATACATATATATATATATATATATATATATATATATATATATATATATATATATATACGTCATAACACACATTGATATATATATATATATATATATATATATATATATATATATATATATATATATATATATATATATATATATAAAAAATATCCTAAGGAGCAAGGCAAACTTTATTTTATTTATTGATAAAACCATTTGCCTTTTTAGCCAATTTTACCCTGAATATCCGTTTAGGTGAAACCTAGGTAGGTTTGCCTGGCTCCTTAGGATTATTTTAGTTTTTGCTCTATATAGTGTATTGACCACATTACGTTTAGTCTTTTACTCGTTTTGGTCTTTATTTTTATTTTTTGGGGGGACTTGGAGCTCAAGCACGTTATAAGATATATATAGTGTTATCTTCTTGGTTTTTTTTCTTTTTATTTCCAATTTTTTCCTCGGACATCAATTTGTTATATTACAAGTTGAACTAACCCAGGTTTTCAAAACGAATATTACCATTCATATATATATATATATATATATATATATATATATATATATATATATATATGTGTGTGTGTGTGTGTGTGTGTGTGTGTGTGTGTGTGCTATGCGTGATACACGAATATATATATATGCGTGTGTGTGTGTGTGTGTGTTATGCGTGATACACGAATATATATATGTATATGCGTGTGTGTGTGTGTGTATATATATATATATAAAATACATAAATATATATATATATATGTGTGTGTGTGTATATATATATATATATATTACATAAATATATACATATATATATATACGTGTGTGTGTGTATATATATATATATATATATATATATAAATACATAAATATATACATATATATATATATATATATATATATATATATATATATATTTGTATGTATGTATGTATGTATGTATGCTAGCCGAATTACCCGTGCCTTGCTGCGCATCACACATTTTTGTAAGAAAATGATGATTGATTTTAAAACATTGATATAATTTGTAAGAAAAATTATGCCTTTCAATATTACTCAATGATCTTGACGATGTGTCCTCCATCTTCTGGCTTTCTCCTTCTATATTTTGGATAGGAGTCATTTGCATGTTCAAATTTAAATGTAATCAAAAGTAATAATCTACAGTGGGAACTTTGTGCCCCCTCTGGACTCCCATTGATCAAAAGGAAATATATTTATCCAAGTACGCTGGGTAATATAGTTTCACTATATATATGGTTGGGGTCCAAAACCGATAAAAAACAGACAGAAAGAGGCCACAACTTTATATATAGAGATATGAGGAGCGCTGAAAAGTTCTTAGTTCGAATCATTTCTCTAAATTATAAATCCTGATGCTTGATCAGAAAAATACTAATTTGGGGAAATGAAATAAATTGGGCCGACAACTTTTCAGCACGTCCTCATATATGTACGTAATAATTATGTCATTGCTTTAGGCTTTTGATTGTAATAAACAATTGAAAGCAGTGACCTATTTTCGGCCAGGAAAATGATTCAATTTATTTCCATGGACATTCATAATAAATAAAACAAAAGATAGATTGAACACAAGAGGATATTGATGTGGAAAAATAGCAAATGGAGCAAATTGGCTCTTTAATCAAAAAGAATATGCAAGTTTAGGTCGGGAAGGTTTTCCACTGGGAACTGTTCAAGCGACTTCGTTTTTACCGTAGAGACCAGTATTAAATGTACAAACCTCACTTTGTTTTAGAGAATGAAAGAAAGAAGGGTGGGAAGAAAAAAGAATGGGAAGGAGTGTAGATGAAATTAATAAACAGAGAGAAAGAATAGTGTAGGTAGAAGAAAAGAAACCAATATAAAGAGAAAGAAAGAAAGAAAAAAGTAAGAAAGAAAGAAAGAAAGAAAGAAAGAAAGAAAGGTGATAATTTAGGAGAAAGAAAGAAAGAAAAAAGAAAGAAAGAAAGAAAGGAAAACGACGTATGTGGCAAACAAGAAAATCAATAAAAGGAAAAAAAAAGATAGAGAGAAAAGAAAGTAAAAAGGTGTAAAAAGAGAAACCAAATGAAAGAAAGGAAAAGAAAGAAGCGGGAAAGGTGTGTATTTGACAAAAAGGGAGATTACTGAATAGAAAGAAAGAAGGATTGCAAGGAAATAAATTAAAAAGCTGTGTGGCAAAAAGGGAAATAGAAAGAAAGAAAGAAATCAATCAATAAATCAATCAATCAATCAATAAAAAAATATAGTTCAAAAAAGAAAGAAGTCCAGAAAAAAGAAAAATATATATGAGGAAATCAATAAAAAACAGAAAAAAAAATGGATGATCGTCGGATGGAAAGAAAAAAGATAGGAAAAAGGTGTATGTGACAAAATGAGAAAAAATCTAAAGAAAGAAAGAAAGAAAAAGTAAAGAAAAAAGAAAGAAAAAATTGTACGTGGCAAAATGAGAAAACAATAGAAGGAAAGAAAGAAAGAAAGAAAGAAAAAAGGAAGAAAGAAAGAAAGAAAGAAAGGAAGGAAGAAAGAAAGAAAGTAAGAAAGAAAGAAAACGTATGTGACAAAATAAAAAAAACAACAGAAAGAAAGAAAAAAAGTTGTATGTATCAAAAAGAGAAATCAATAAAAAGAAGAAACGAAAAAGTGGACAAGACAGAGAGAAAGAAAGTTTAGAAGATAAAGGAATATATATATATGTGACAAAAGGGAAATCAATAATAAAAAAAAGAAGGAAAGAAAGAAAGAAAACCTTGAAATTCTCAATAAAAAGAAGAGGAATGCAAAAATGGACAAGTAAGATAAAAAGAAAGAAAGAAGGATGCAAAGAAAAAAAGGAAAAGGTGTATGCGGCAAAGAGGAAAATCAAAATAAATGAAGAAATAAATGAAGAAATAAATAAATAAAGAAAGAAAGAAAGAAAGAAAGAAAGAAAGAAAGAAAGAAAGAAAGGAATAGGTGTATCTGATAAAAAAAGAAATCAGTAGAAAATTATGAGTAATTATAAAAAATGGAAATAAGAAAGAAAGAAAGTAAGAACGAAGGAAAGAAAACGTGATAAAAAGTAAAGAAATATAAAAACAAGGAAGAGGATGAAGATGTTAATAAATGCTAATTAAGATGGGCAGAGGTCGGAAGATGGCAGTTGACAAGACGATGGAATGAGACACATGAAGAAAAAAAATGAAAATTGAGGGAAGATTGTTATGGCGAAAAAAATGGGCAAGAAGTTCATAAAAAGTACAAGTCGGAAAGAAAAAGACGAAGTAAAGACGAAGACAACAAATAGAAAAAAGAAATAAAAAAATAACAGAAAGAACTAAACGCGAAAGAGAAAAAGACCAAAAAAAAAGAAAATCTTAATGGATATGATTACAAGAGAGAGGTATAAAAATAAAAGCCAAGACCATTCAGGAATCGTAAATGAAAAATAAAGACAGATAATTCGTTAAGTAGAGCTGGTGATTGTTGTAGTAGTAGGGTTGGTTGCTGGTTGAGATGATTGTCTCTTTGACCTGCAGTGGTTTTGTATCAGACACGATAATTGAAACTAATTCTGGCTTTTACTTATTTGGCGTAGGAAGGATAAAACCGGAGTGAAAATAGTGCGGCATGGCGACTTGTACAAAGGCAGAGAAAGTAGCAGAATTTAGAGGAAAGTCGCGAGGAAAAAGAAAGATGGATGGCAGAAGCAATTGTCTCCCAGCGGAGACGAATTGCTTAATATCCGCAGAGAAGGGAAAGAAATTATATATATATATATATATATATATATATATATATATATATATATATATATATATATATATATATATATATCTTTATATATTTGATATATATATATATATATATATATATATATATATATATATATATATATATGATATATATGCATATCTATATATATTTGATATATATATATATATATATATATATATATATATATATATATAAATATATATCTATATATATTTGATATATATATATATATATATATATATTTGATATATATGTATATCTAAATATATTTATGTATATATATATATATTTGATATATATATATATATATATTTGATATATATATATATATATATATATTTTGATATATATATATATATATATTTGATATATATATATATATATATATATATATATATATATATATATATGATGTTTTATTTTGTAGATGAATTAGGGAAAGGTCCTTCATTGTGATATTTTTCTACTTTTTATCTCATGATACTTTTGTATTCTTATTTTTGAATAAATTATGATCCCCGTTTTAAAGTTTATTCTATCTTGGTATGCCCACAAAATTGTCCTCATATATATATATATATATATATATATATATATATATATATATATATATATATATATATATAACAATAATTTTACATACGGACAAAAAAACCCTGCTCATTACAAAGATGAATTCTTGTTTCGGTGTCGCTGTATCCTGACTGGTGAGAACAAAGAACCAAAAATGGTTACCGAGTGGTTAGAACTTTCTTTTTCTTAGCATGTGACCCAAGTTCGAATCTCACTATGGTTGATTTATCAGCAGCGAGTCTTCCTGACGTTATTGGTCTGGAGCGGGGACGATCCCAGCGTGCGGCACCTTTGGAAAGTACCTGAAAAACATACCACGGGTTGACCCAAGCCGTGTGAGTGTGATTGTTGATCATGTCGGATATCACGCTCTCTCCCAAAAACTGTAACTAAGGTCTGCTCAGTATAGTTGCAGTATAAGCCACAGTTTAGCTCTGTGGGTGTTGAACAAACATAAATGTGCCTGAGCGAATGACTGCAATAAGAATTGGCTAGGCGCCCGAGTAGACAGGTTTCCTCGAAAACGAGTGTCCGGCTATTATTATTATTATTATTATTATTATTATTATTATTATTATATTTCTTAAACGTTATTTTTAGTGGATGCTCGTATTTGTGTAGACGCTCCGTTTATTTATTAAACAATATATTCATTTATTTTTTCTACCGACCTGAATATATGCGGAATCTCTCTCTATCTCTCTCTCTCTCTCTCTCTCTCTCTCTCTCTCTGTATATATATATATATATATATAATCGTACATTCACTGCTGGTATTAATAAAATAATGCAACATGTAAAATAACAGGGCTATAAATTATATAATATATATATATATATATATATATATATATATATATATATATATATATTTTAGTTTATAAAAACTAGGTAATCCGTATCGGTAGACCCAAGGAGGATGATATCCAGAGAGCTTAATGTAAATTCAGACCAAATATGTTTGAATAAAAACGAACCACTTTAAGGTTCCATGTAATAAGTTATTTCACCACAACCCTTTTAAAATATATATATATATATATATATATATATATATATATATATATTGTCTTCGTCACAGGTAGAACAACTCTGGGCGTCATTCAAAACGCAATATTCAGGTGCTGAATTAAAACTGTTTATTTTGTTAATGTCTTACATTTATTTATAGCACAAGGCGAAAAGAGGCGAAAGGAAGAGCTGGTCAATACTCACAATCATACACCTAGCTAATCCGATTCGCAACCCATTCTCTCTAACAATTTCCTCACTCACTAAAAGAACTAATCCATCTCCATTCAATCCATCATGTACCACAGTACCACATATTCACCTGGGGCCTAATAAATAGCACATGATTTAAAAAAAATTAAAATGTACACCAATATATATTTTCCTTTTTTCAACAATTTTCTTATAAAAATGTACAAATATATTTTTCATGAAACGTATGGGAAGGGTATGGAACCAATAAAAAAATGAAAGCGAAACAGAACATTGAAACTAAAATAAAACTGCATTATTCTGGTCCGACAAACACACAAAAATAAAAGCGACTGCAGTATTCTGCCGGCAATCAGAATAAGTCTGGGAACGACACTCATATTAACTATGTGAACAAAGGAGTCTAGCTTAAACATTTGTGAGGTCTGTCATGAATCTGATCCGTTTGTGTCTTTAGGGGACGAGAAAAAGAAATCAAGCTCGACCCGATTCACGCAAACAAGATACGCAACTTGCAACCATCGTTCCCTGAAATATGCCCTGAATGAAAAACTGAACGTTTTTGTGAATTTCCGCAAACATATTTTAAGAAATAGATGTATCAAAGATGCTAAATGTTAGATTTACTAAACTTCGAAGTTTATTAGTTAATAAATATATTTCCCAAAATTAATGAGCTTTCAGTTTTAGCAAAAATACAAAGATATGGTCGTCTGCTATTTCAACACTAAAATGGTGTTTAAGATAATGTCACTGATTGGTTAATAAATACTATTGTGGAAATATGAATTGGGAGCTCGCGTGAGCTTATTTCTGCTAAAAAATAAGTCGATTTTTTGCGTGAGCTGATATTGGCACAGAAGTGAAATTTTTGTTATGTTACTTAAATCGACTGAATTTTTATACAATTTCAAACGGGGTTCCACAAGTTGATGAGTGAAACTTAGGCCAATCTAGTCGATCTTGATCGACCCTTATCACAAATATTCTATCCAGTTACGTAACTACCAGGGTAGACGGCCAATTAAGAGTACACAATCTACTTCTTCCTCCAAGGGTGATCGACCCGTTATCTCTCGACGAAACGAAACTCGTCGTTCATATCGACCAAGTTACGATCACACCACCTACCGCTAGTCTTCGCCTCCTGTCTAGTTTATTGTCCAAGAAAGTTATTCCAATTCCCTAATAAAAATTGGCGCGCCGAATCCACCCGGAATGAAAAATGATCCAACCGATCGTTGGGATTTATTTCTTTCGTATTCCATTGGTAAAGAGGAAATTTTAATCGGACATGTTTTTTTTCCCAAGACGTCTACATTGTGGAAGATATTCTTAGGGTATTTTCTTGATCACTACGAACTAAATCTCTTCAAATCTATTGTCAACCGCCGTCTAGCCTGCATACAATTATCTGCACGTACTTCGTTTTCTTAGAATCAAACAAGCACACGCAATAAATCTCTACCTTGACTGACTCTTCGGTCGTGTATCGGGTGAACTTTTCGTAATTAAATTGCCAATTTACATTATGCAAGTCAATAATACGCGGTCAGTAAGATTGACTGTTCGCAACAAGACAAAACATTATTCTCGTGACATGGAATATTAGAACATTAGACCAATGTGACTAATTACAAAATATAAAACAGGAAATGTCTGTGATGTCAACGAACACTCGTTGCCACTTTTGTTATGCCAACGAATACTCGTTATTACTTTTGTGATGCTCGTTGTCGTAGAGACTTTGTAATCGCAGATACAACGATAGTAACGCCGTAGTAATAGAGGATAGATTAGAAATGCCGATCTAGACATATCGCGACTTCCAATATATGCATTTCCTCTATGGTCACGTGATTTATTTAATTCAATAACAGGATCGCCTGTGTTTGCTCACTGGCGATCTATGTTGAAGCTCAAGTGTCGACAGCGACACTTTGTTCTTTTCTAACAGAAATGAGCAAATTAAATGTCAGTATTTTAGGCGAACAATGACGATTTCGTCAGTTACAAACACAGTGTGATATATGCAGGCGAGCAGAAAATGAAAGAGGAGTAGGATTGATGCTAGAGCAAGACATGAAGAAATGTCTTCCAGAATACAGTAAAAGATCTGAAAGAATTTTTGACGTTACAATGAAAGGAAAACCATTCAACATATCCATTATATTTATTTATATACCGGGAACACAAAGTACTGAAGTAGAAATTGAAAAGATTTACTCTCCGCTAGGCAACGTCAAGGCGCAATGTAAATCACAAGAAATTGTAATTGTTATGGAAGACCTGAATGCCAAAATAAGCACCGATGAAGAAGGTGAAAGAGTTGGCAAATTCCGAATGATCAGGTAGTTGTCAACACTTGGTTTCAAAAACACCCAAGACGTATATTTGTAACACTATTTGGGTTGGTGGTAATTAATAATGATAATGGCGACTTGGAATATCAATGAAAACGAGATAATGATGAATAACTTAGCATAAAAAGGGTTAAAAAATATAAAGAACGATAGACCGTTAAGAAATGATTCCCATAGAATCGAGATTTATACAAGAGACATTTGTTGGAAATCAGAGGATTCTCCGAAACCCAGCCTACATCTTGCCCCACACCGGTTTCTAGTTGGAGTCCATTAAAATGAATGCGCAAAAGCCATTCAGGGAGTTACGAGTTGAAATAGCTGACAGTTGAGAGCTGAGAAGGGAAGCGGCGGATGTCGCTGAGAGATTCTACAACTCCTGCCGAACACAAGAACCCCTGACTTCAGCCTTGAGCCAAATTACCAATTCAGTAAAACA